CTGCACTTTCCAATTTAACGCTGTCAAGTAGTTTAACGAGAGAAAGACGACGTGAATGCTTCTTGTCACTCGGCAGTTGACTTGACTTTAAAAGCAGATTGACCTGCGATTAACGGCCGGAACGAGCGGGAGAGAGCGAGTGATCTTTTCGGCCGCTCCGGGCGCCACCTGTCCTATTGTCAGAAGTACAACGTGTCCTGTAGGCAGTATTTCCATGGACATAAGAATATATGGACGGAGCCCAAGCCATAGGGTGGAGTGCCAGAGTAAGTAAGGGGGAAACACCCCCTACCCAGTGAACACTGTTATATAACTGTTGGGTAAATGTTACGTTTTCAAAACTAACATGTTATGTAGCATAAAAGTAACATGGAAGTTAGATGTTAGTTACTATTTCCCACTCGGTAATGTAACATGTTATATCAATATTACATTAATGTTATAATTTCAGTTACCTTAAAATAATATTAATTTTTCATACATTTAATGAAAAAGATGACGCAATTTTATCCAAAATTACATAATTTTTTATTTTTAATTATTTCTTGGTACTTGACAATAGTTAGATATTAAATGACGAATCAGACTTTCAATGAAATTATGTAGTGATAAACTGTCTGATTTTACTTAAAGACTATTGTGATTTCATTCGACAAGAAAACAATTACTGATAATGTATATGCGCGTACGAATTAACGTCACATTTGTTCATACGAGTAGTAAATAAAATATGACATATATTATTCTTACGACATTTGACAATGAATTATGACAATGACGATGATGTAATAAAATAGATGACAGCACCAATGTAGTTCCATTTTGTTACAAATATGTGCTGCATATACACAGGACAATCGACTGATTTGAAGGGGGGTTTACTTCACCTTAAGGCTGTAACTATGCTGTTCATTCCTTTATGCCCGGTTCCACCAACCTCGATTAAATCATTGATTACTTAACCGTAGGTTGAAGTTAACGTCTAATCATGGATTAAAAACGTAAACGTTCCCCACGTTTATTTAGAGCGTGATTAACTAATCGTATACACAATTCAAAGTACGTTGAACTGTCGGTGAACGCGTTCGCGTGATTGTCTGATACTCCGATGACTAGAAAGCAAGATAGATGCGCTTTTGTCAAGGCAAGAAGTCCCCCTAGCTTCATGAAAGAAGTTATTAACAGACGCTACCCAAGCAACCCATGAAGTTGAATATACGTAAATTAATCGTCTAAATTTGGTCTATAGGTATAGCAAACGTCTATCGTCTATCATCCACCTAAAAAAATATCTAAAGGATATATATAAATATCTATGTCTATTGTAGACGAAGATTATATATCCACTATTGATCTACAAATATCCACTTATTTCTTGACGCATACAAAATATATAATAGCTCTAGTAGACATCCACCAAAGGTTAATCGACATCGTTGAAAATACGGTTAGGAAAATAAAAAGACACCTCAAGTAACCTAACATTTTTCATACATACTTAATGTTTACATCTAAATTCCAACTTAATAAAACTGTTAATTTCGTTCGCAAACGTCTATCGTCTATCATCCACATAAAAAAATATCTAAAGGATATATATAAATATCTATGTCTATTGTAGACGAAGATTATATATCCACTATTGATCTACAAATATCCACTTATTTCTTGACGCATACAAAATATATAATAGCTCTAGTAGACATCCACCAAAGGTTAATCGACATCGTTGAAAATACGGTTAGGAAAATAAAAAGACACCTCAAGTAACCTAACATTTTTCATACATACTTAATGTTTACATCTAAATTCCAACTTAATAAAACTGTTAATTTCGTTCGCAAACGTCTATCGTCTATCATCCACATAAAAAAATATCTAAAGGATATATATAAATATCTATGTCTATTGTAGACGAAGATTATATATCCACTATTGATCTACAAATATCCACTTATTTCTTGACGCATACAAAATATATAATAGCTCTAGTAGACATCCACCAAAGGTTAATCGACATCGTTGAAAATACGGTTAGGAAAATAAAAAGACACCTCAAGTAACCTAACATTTTTCATACATACTTAATGTTTACATCTAAATTCCAACTTAATAAAACTGTTAATTTCGTTCGCAAACGTCTATCGTCTATCATCCACATAAAAAAATATCTAAAGGATATATATAAATATCTATGTCTATTGTAGACGAAGATTATATATCCACTATTGATCTACAAATATCCACTTATTTCTTGACGCATACAAAATATATAATAGCTCTAGTAGACATCCACCAAAGGTTAATCGACATCGTTGAAAATACGGTTAGGAAAATAAAAAGACACCTCAAGTAACCTAACATTTTTCATACATACTTAATGTTTACATCTAAATTCCAACTTAATAAAACTGTTAATTTCGTTCGCAAACGTCTATCGTCTATCATCCACATAAAAAAATATCTAAAGGATATATATAAATATCTATGTCTATTGTAGACGAAGATTATGTATCCACTATTGATCTACAAATATCCACTTACTTCTTGACGCATACAAAATATATAATAGCTCTAGTAGACATCCACCAAAGGTTAATCGACATCGTTGAAAATACGGTTAGGAAAATAAAAAGACACCTCATGTAACCTAACATTTTTCATGCATACTTAATGTTTATATCTAAATTCCAACTTGATAAAACTGTTAATTTCGTTCATACTCTGATTTTTTATTTACTTACTCTTTGGCTGGGGACCATATATCATGATTTTTTACCACTGTGTAAAGTATGATGTATTACCAGGCACCGTATGAAGTATAATATACTTATAGTGGACGTTCAAATTAGGACATAAGTATAGAAAACATACATTATCTATGGTATGCATAATCAATTTTTCTGTATGAATTTAAATTTTTTACAAATACGTATGAATATCTATACACCATCTATTGTACATATCTACGATATATATACATATTACATACCATGTCCGGACATCTGGCCCTTAAGTGTATCTAAAATAGAGTTCATAGATATCTATATATATCTTATATACGTTCAATAAACATTTATATACGATTAATTTACGAATATTCCACGTTCCGCGGTGCCTGGGTAGACTAAAAAAATAAGGTCCTTTGGTTGAAAATTAATATAAAATATTTTCAAGCGTACTTCGATCATTAAGAAATTCAAAATAAAATCAAAAACGTCTTCATACGTTTCGTCTTAAGAAGAAGTTAATACATCCTCAATCTAATCTATGTTTTCCTCACAATTTTTAGGTTAGAGTTCGATTAACTGAAGCTAAACGATCGAATCTGGCCGGATAATCTAATCGGCAGTTAATGGCAATTAACCCGCGGTTAAAATGGGGAACGTGTAACTCATTGTAATCGAGGATTAGCTTTTTGGCCGAGATTAGTGAAACCGGGCATTAAGGTGATATGAAAGTGTGATGTATACGTACCAAAAAGTCAAAATATTTATACAACTTTTCTCCAAATTGGGTGCACCAAATTATCTAAAACTTTAACACGTGATTATGGGGGCTCTGAGGAAGAACGCGCTGCCTGTGAAATTGTATTTTTCGAAAAAAAAAATATTTTTTTGGTTCTTGTCCAAGATAAGTACATTTTTTTTCGGAAAGACTTTGTGTATATATATTGTATTTTGCATATATTTTGTATATATATTTTGACTTCATGTATATATCACACTAAGGGACCTATATATACCAAATGTCAAATATTTATAATAATTTTCTTCAAACTGGATCTACCGAATCGTTGGAAACTTCAGCGTGTGATTATGGAGGCCCTATGAAAGATCATAGTGATTATGAAATTTCGTTGTTAATTAAACAAATGTTGTATTTATCCCAAATTTGAGCTAAGTATACATATTCTTTTTTAAAAATAAATTTTCATTACCAACACGTTTTTCTCCAGGGCCATCATAATCACATTCTGAAGTATCAAATGATTCGGTGCACCCAGTATGAAGAAAAGTTACATATATATTCTTACGTGTTATATATACAATGTATATATATAAAATAGAATATATACATATGTAATGACGTTTTCATATTACCTCATAAAGAATGAAAAACAAACACATATACGTATGTCTTAATCAATTCGAATTATTTAATTATTTAATTTCAATGCCTAATTGAAGTGGAATTTGCATAAAATACAATTTAAAAGGATATTATTTGTTCTCCATTCATACAATCGAGATACATTTTAACCGTAAACATTGTATATCAGTTTAATCTATAGTTCCTATCTCACTTGCGATGATTTTTTTGTTTTTGTTATCATGGGAGCAAAACGTGTGATTTTGATTTTTAAGTACTTTCAAAACGTTTATAATGTATTCGGCGGACAATATTTAAAAAATACTTGTATTAAAACGAAACGAAATGTTTTGTATATCTGGTAGAAAGATATTATGAAAACACGGGGAGCTAATATTATATAAATATTATAGAGATAATATCTTAAAGTAAACATTTCGGAAATATTTCAAATGTCCGGTAAATATTTACAAGATGTACGATATTCGTTAAATATGTAGAAAATATAGGGGAAATATTTTGTGCTAGGGACACTTCATTTGGTATCGAAAAACACGACAAATTTGTTGTAATATTTTCGTCCCGCTATTTCATTATGGGAGCGAAACGTGTGATTTTAAATATTTTTAAAACATTTATAATGTATTCGGCAGATAATATTTAAAAAATACTTGTATTAAAATGAAACGAAATGTTTTGTATATCTGGTAGAAAAATATCGCCCAGCACAATAATCTCTTACAATTTGTTTAAATTCTTAAAAATAACTTGAATTTTATGTAATTTTATGTTGATTCTCGTTAATTCTCATCGATTCGTAGATAATTTAATTAGCGATTATATTCTCGTTCTGAACACACATTTTATTATTCACTCTCCTATTTTAATATTAGGATAATATAACGTACTAAATACTTTTGTGCCGGATACAGGGAAACTGGCCAATCGAGAGCCATGTTCATCCGAAGCGAGAACGATGTTGACTGGTCGACGGCCCGAGAAGAACTGAACACGCTCCAGTTTGCGCTTCCGAACAGTGTTGCCAGCTTCAGTTGTGTTTACTCCAGTACAGTCGGATTAAGGTGAAGTGAAACACGTCGAGGAACTTGATCGACGTCGATAAAGAAGATTTTTCTAAATGCCTACGTTGCCGACGTTCGTTTTTTTATTGACAACTGTGTCGAATTATGTTGGATATTGTACCAAATGGCATACTCCACCTGTCGTTTTCGTACAATCAATATAAAAAAATCGAAGTAAAACTCCAGAAATCCTCTGGATTCATGCGTTCTGGGGCCCTAATTGACTGCAGAGGGACACCCTGCGCCATCTGTGATCTCCAGGACAATTCAATTTTCACTCCGAGACCTCGTATTCCCATCGTTTTAGCATGGAAGCGCATACAACACTTTTTTTGCCTTTATCCCGTTCAAATGCGAGTTTATCGATTACCAGAGTGTTCCAAATTGTCATAAAATTGTCCTGACCCTTTCGTTTCTCATATCAGAGCCTTCGATAATTGTATATCGATCGAAATATGAGAGCTCGACGCCATTTTGGTTCTGGTCTGGACTAAGTTAAACAATTTTTTCCAAAAATCCAAATTTTGAATGTGTCAGGACAATTCTTAGATGATCAGGAGTGATGTGTCAAAGTTTCGGATAGTTTGATCTAATATCTAAATATCTAAAATCAATCTAAATCTAAAAAAAAGTGTTGTATTCGAATCGACTGATTTGAAAGGGGTTTCACTTCACCTTGAGGTAAAGTGAAACCCCCCTCAAATCAGTCGATTCGAATAAAACACTTTTTCTCAAGGGTATGGATATATACCTAGTAGCCCAAAATATTTGTCCTATATTTCCTATATATTTAACGAACATCGTATATTTTGTAAATATTTAGCAGAAATTTGAAATATTTGCAAAACGTTTACTTTAGAATATTATCCGTATAATATTTATATGGTATTACCTCCATGTGTTTTCAGAATATTTTTCGACCAAATATGCAAAACATTTCGTTTCATTTTAATACAAGGATTTTTTTTAAATATGATCTGCTGAATACATTATAAACGTTTTAAAAATATTTTAAATCAAAATCACACGTTTTGCTCCTATAATGAAATAGCGGTACAAAAATATTACACAAATTTGTCATGTTTTTCAAATGAAGTGTCCGATAATAATCGTGAAGTAAAAAATGTATTT